ACCAAATTCTCTTTTATGACTAATCATGTTTCGGTAGAGTAAAATTCCGATAATGAATACTATTTATTGGGCATATAGGAGATCATCTAAAATTCCTGCCAATCAATGTTAAATTTCGTCTACCTTTAGTCGCTCCAATCGATTTCTTTACATGAAACGATAAATTATTCAACCAGGACCTTTGAATGAGAGCTATAGGGGGGGGGGGGGGGGGGGGGTTTGGTTTTCATGCAGCATCAGCTGATGGTGTAGGCATTGCTTCCGGCTTTGAACACCTTGGCAGAGAAGACATGGAATACTGACTGGCATAAGTCCATTGAAATCCATATTGATTCACCAAAAAAAAACGTTCATAAAATCTGGAATTACATGTTATTGGACTAATTATACCATCTTGGACTTCACACTGTCATCGAAAGCATTTACGTTTCACAAGTTTACGGTCGGTGATTTAACGCCCCCCCCCCCTCCACCTGTTCGTTCGATGAATTGATTTTAAATAAAATTCATTTGATGATGCTACATTTCTTCTACTCTCTAACTTGTTTAACTGAGTCTGAGTTAATTCCAATCACAGCTTAATATTAGCAAACATCAAATATTGAGTTGTACCGGGTGCCGAATGAATACAGAGGGGAAATTTAATATTGTATCTTCATTTGCTAATAGTAAAAGCATATTATTACTAATAACACTAAAATGAGCATCCGCAGGAAGTGTTGAAATTGTTAGCCATGAAATTCATTGTACAAGTTAGCACGTTTCAACTCGATTTGGGTAACCTTTGTTAACTCATTTGGTGTGATTCAGCATTAGGGCTTCGATTGTTCATTTTCAACCACTAGGTCATAACACTTCCATCAACTTTTTCATTGCATCCTCGCACATGTGACTGCTTAAACGTGTTTCGGTTTGACGTTCGATTGAGATGTGTGGGAAACTCCATCAATGACCAAATAGAAATCCTGCTATAGAACACTACTCAGAAATATTTAGCTATTAATGTTCACACGAAATCATGCTAGAGTTATCTGATAACTAATCGCTTTGCCAAACACACACTTCGCTATCAATATACGTACCGAATAAACGTATTCCGTGCTAATCACAGGGACTTTCGAGTGGGAAAAAACTGTTACAGAGATTCCTGAGAATAGTCAAGGTTATTGAGGTAGCTAAACCGCTACAGATGTCCGGTTGGAGGAGAGAAAGATGTCCCGTTGATTTCCGTGGACTTCTCAGCAGTCTCTTAAGCACTTTGAATATTTTTCAATGGACAAACCGTATGTACATGGCTATATTTAGTACTAGTGTCGAAATCTGTAGCTCTAACAAGTTTATCAGAAGCAACTCTCCGTGGATGTTTTGTGGCGAACCTTCCATTTAAAGTTAGAAACAATCTGAGCCCCAAATAAGTTTCAACAATAAAGGCTCTTTGTTTGCTTGAAAAAAAGCCTTTCTGCAGGACTGCATTTACAAGCGTTAATAACAAGTAAAATCACACAAACTAAGCCATACACCTTTAAAACAAAATGGCAACTGGACATCACGTGACCCCGCGAAAATGTTCCCCAACCCTTTGCGCCCTGTTTGTCAAGTTCAGCCAAAGGACTTAGTAGCCTTGCTAAAAGGTGACTGGCAGTCTAATTTTTGTTAATGAAATGGTCACTCGCCATAGGTACTGAGATTAATCTGCGAAAAACGGTTATGAACACGATGGGCTAATCTGCACAACTCAACCGAAATTCAGCGCATCCTAATCACTATCTTGATACTCATGGCGGTACTAAATGGTGCAACTATTAGGCACCTATGAAAAATGCTTGAATCAGTTGCACACAGATCATTTTTAAACCTATAAACCGGACATAAATGCTTTTAATAGGGGACTTGAAACACAGGTGGAATATAGATAAGTGGCAGTTAAATTGGATTAAAGCTAATAATATTTACTCTTGGAGCTATTCGTGTTTGTCAATAATATTCCTGCTCCTCAGGTGCTGCTCGACATTCCTTTCAGAGCAGGAAGGAGGGAACATTGCACTATTCTGATTGGCTAGTGTGAACATGAACGTTCACCGATCTGGTTCATCACGGGTACATAACACTTTCAGAATTTAACTAAACGTTCTGCTTAGATGCCGATGAAGAATGAAGATCAAAGCTTGAATACAAACTACAGGTATTGATAAGCCTGAGATGAAATATAAAATATGTTCTTCACATGACTTTGAATGACTCTAGAAATGATTGAATCAGGCAGAAATTGACTCTCATGGTTCTCTAAAGTGTATTTTCGGCTGAAGGGATAATATCACGTAAGTTACAACCGAACAGATAGACAAACAAGAGAGAACTTGAAGGCACGGTAAATGTCGATCACTCACAATTCGAAATTCTCAAATGGAGTTTATCATGCAATACGGCATCGATAATCGAAATATCACAGGGATGAAAAAAGCAAATGATTTTTTAATCACGCGAGGAGAACCCTGAGAGAATATGAACATTCCATAATGGTTTCGTTTCGATATTTGTGCTTGAGCAGGCAGGAATGTAGTAACTACTTTTATTTATATTATTTTAGATCCTTGGAAAGTTAGAAACTAATCTACACAATAGGTAAATTTAATTTGATTCAGGTTTTAAGTAAGGAATGAATCTTACAGAGTTATTTCAACAAAGGTTTAATTATCAAAAGCATTAAACTAAAAGTTGTTTAAAGTTACTCAATGTGGATAAAAGCACTAACATATCTTAATAACAACTCGGGCTGGCATAGTCTAAAGCCCACTTTCAAAAATATTAACTCCAGTGAGGTCCAACTTAAATACGATAAACAAACTTTTAAGCAAAATGGAGGACAGGATTAAAGTAGTAATTTTATTGAAAATTGTCAAAACAAAGATAACGCATGATTAACAGCAAAGCAATATAGTTTCGATATCACGATACTTCTAAGATTTCTTTTTTAAATAATAATGCTTCAATTCATGTGACTAACTATTATATACATTGTTATTCATGCTAAATTAAACAACATGCATTTTAAATAGCTAAATAATTTATTAAAGCTAAAATAAAATCATGTACGAGAAATTTTATAATTTATTTAGTTTATTTTAATAGATTTTTGATAATCTAAATATGATGTTTGTCCCACTTAATGACCTTGTCTTGTACTCGAACACACTTTTGAAGCTTCAGTCCCGGATCGGCAGATTATGTCTGGGATATGCTTCCTCGTCTTATCCTTACTAATTACCAGATGTTTCGCTGACCTGAAACTTTGCAATGAGGTAGAAATTCTTTTTAAATTTTATTTTTTTCTAAGAATGAAGTGACCTACAATAGTACTCCATGTGCTGCTGATGGAAGCCATTTTATTATAACATTTCCGAAGGATCCCAGGATGTGTCATGTAGAAGTAGGACCAAAATTCGTAGAAGACTGTAGTATGTTTCGTTTATTTGGCTTAAGATTTTTAGCTATTACTTGCAAACCTGGAGAGTATCTGAATGTTGAAAAAAATACATGCGAAAGCTGCCCTGCTGGAACTGCCGCTCCAGGAGATGTTTTTGTCGTTAATTCGTGGCCTAAGATGCCCAGCCAGTTCTATTCTGATATTATTTCTACTGGAGTATTTGCCAATTGTTCGCAGTATGACCCTAAATTCTGAAGAAATAATATTATAATATAACATTTCACTAAATTAACAAATTTATTTTTAGATTTGGCTGGAAACCAGAAAATACGCACATTTTAGGAACTGCAAGCTCGATGTGCGGTGCAGAATTGACTCTAGAGAACAAGAATATCAGGAACGGAGAAATTACATTTGAATACAAAATGACCGATCTTTATGGTTTAGCCTATTTCACTGTAATGTTTTTTTTATATTTTACTTGATATGAACTTAATTAGATTCGAAATCAACGCTGTGTTCTTGATGGCGGCACTAGTCATATCCTTTCACCAAGTCCAAAAGATGAATGGAGCAAATTTACTCTCGATGTACCTGCTGGGACCTCTACATTGCAATGGTACCTCTTCTCCGAAAACTACTTCGATATGAACTCGGTTGGCATTCAGTTTAAAATCAGATCAATTAGAGTAACCGGTCGGGCTGCCACCCTTAATTGTCTCGAATGTGGGCCCGGTTTCTATTCCGAAGGAAGTGGAGCCGACGAATGCAAAAAGTGTCCCATTAATACCTTCTCAGGGAGCCGGGCTAAGAGCTGCACCTCTTGCAAACATGATGAGTATGCAAGTAAGAATGAGCTGTTGCATTATTTAAAGAATTAATTAACTTGCTCAGTTAAATTTATTTATTCTTCTTAAACATTTGACCATATGCTCAAAATTGTCTATCTGGTTACTATATCACCCCCCTTTTTATTAGTCATCTCGTTTAGTCTGCTCCTAGGACAACATCAAAGCAAACTGATTATAAGCCGTGCTTGCTTCATTTATCGTTTAAGTGTTTTGTGGTTTTTGAATAACCTATTGAAGCAGTCAAATCGATGTCAAATCATGGAAAAGTTGGCAATGAACAAATAGAGCCTATTGCAATTTTACTATTTATATTATCTCAAGTCGAAAAACCCAATCTCCCAAAGCACTTTAAGCGCATTTAAACAATCTTTCGAATGAATTAGAAGTAAATGAAGAAATCTACTCTTACAAATGTCTAATTACTGAAGCATAAAACTAATTTGTACCAACGCTTTTTCTATGGGGTCATTTTTAATGCAATTTTACCTTTCACCTAATTCTACCAAGTCCACCCACAATTGGTATCGTAAATCGTGTTAATTTCTTTAATGTAGTGAGTAAAAACAGTTTCAACACTTTATGATCTCTCTCTCTGTAATTTTAGTTCCGGGTTCAAGTTTTTGTATATCCAAAAACTCTTGCAAACCTACAGAGTATGTAACCGCTTTCTCCGCATGTGATCCTGCAACCGATACAGTAAGTTCTTCCATTTGCTCTTTTTAAATAATGACAATCATTCATTACTGTCGTAAATGGTTGCCATAGCAACCGTAAAAATCGTGGCATATGGATTGACTCATGAGCTTGCTTCCCTCTAAACGCCCATTTATTAAAACAGTTAATCGTGCGAATTTAAAGTTAACAGCTTATGGGCAGTCAATAAAGAATCAGGAATTGTGTCAGAATCTCAACAATATAGAAGGCTATATCGCTATCTTAAGACTCTTTGAGTCAATGAGGATGGGTACTGTGTTTGAACTCAGTGTAAATAACGTTAATTGATTAAAAATAAGCGTATTTTTATTTTCAAACCTTACAAACTTCGCGAGCACATAATTCCTGTTTAGGTTTCCAAAGGCAAAGGGGAAAATGAAAGGTCATTAATTAGTGGGATGCAATAGTACATAATTAAATCAATAACGTCTCACTACAGCTACTGAACAATACCAACAACCATACTCACAAAGTGGGATTTATATATATGTGCCTTAGACAAACTTTGAGTAAATATGTACTTGACTCGGGAGATCTCGAAAAAAAAGATCCTTGACTGCAGGCCTTTTCTTAAAGTAAGACATTTCTACATTGCATTAATCCTAGAACTTGATTTTGCCACCAATATTTATTTATTTCAAATGGCAGGCGTTTTGATAGTTATCATTAGCCCTTTAGCTGACTTCGGGCTTCACAGAGGGAAGGTTTATCAAAGTTGCAGAAAGTCGAGGGGTGGGGAACAGAAGAGCGATTCATAGATGTAAAAGAGGCAGACAGACACAAAGGCAGAGAAAAGGGAAGATGGATAATGTGGAAGTTGTCGAATATGACATACTGTGGAGTTTGTAGTGAGAACTCAACTGCCGGTTAATTGACTTTTTGCCGTAAGAATATACGTTGCCCAGGGTAAGTCTATTGCACACCCCTATCCCCAATATAACTCACTAGATTTTAATTGACTCAAATCAGGAGACATGGACAAAACAGAAAAGCGGTTACTCTAAGACACTTTATTAAAGAAAAAGAGAATTTATAAATAATTGCATAATCTGTTGGTGGTATCATGACCCCAAGTATAAATACGATGGATAGTCAAATTAACCACCAACCGTGGGAATCGCTAATCCCAAAACAGAACATGAAAATCTGCTTGCTTGATTTTCCATTTCCCTTAGCCGTACCATTTTCTATTACCATCCTTTTTGAAATGGAATCATTTGTTGCCTAAGCAGCT